TTAGATGGATTGACATAGGAAACTCAGATCAGAGGGTTTAATTGGGTAGCTCAAGTAATAGTGGGTTACAGATACGGCATCTAGTGTAGTACCTAGTATATAGATAGTATACTTAATTAGGCACTCAAAAGGTGCAGATATGGTTAGAATGTATCTTTGTCAGAATATACTTGTCTGGAGCCCCTTTGATAAGAGCACCACATGATCCTAATATCTAATAAAAGCGATAAGCCAAAGAGGCTAACCTTGACTAGAAAAAAAAAAAAAAAACTAATAGTAAATTATTTTTCTAATTTAGCTATCCTGCTCTTGTTTATTTGGGATCAAGTTATTTAAAATTTCAAGTACAATTACCTATAATTCATCTCTAACTACAGTAGATCCAACCAAACGAAGAACTCACCCACATGATTTTATATATCAGGTGTGACCTGCCTTAGTAGCTCTTGGCCTCCCTCAGCGTCCTTAACTCATTAAGGACTTTTTTCCTGTTGTTTATCGGCTGGTAGCTACCCACTCATCAAGAAGCAAAATTAGAAAAAACAAACTAAAAAAAAAGAACACAGAGGTATAGGGGACTACGATAAAAGAATACAAAAAACGAAAGAAAAGAGGGTAAAGGGATATTGAAAAAAACAAAAACAAAACAGAAAATTTGCTAAACTTAATACCACAGTTATAAGCCTATGAGTGAGTAGCTTGAAAAAATTACATACTGACTAGACAAATTAGTCTCTACATCTATTTTTCTCTAAACTAGTATGCGAAAGTAAAAACTCGATAAGAAAAACTTCATCGACCGGCTTAGGGTAGAGAGGTCAGAACAGAATCTCGGAGCATTGTTTGTACAGATATCTATTGCATTTGAGGCACGTGTATACATGTGTTTGTTGTCACGTTCCGATTTGAGAGATAAACAATGCCAACTTGTTTGGTACATGTGATGTCGATCATTTAGAGGGGTAAGCTAAAATGCCCACTTTTTACAAAAATTTCCTCGAAAAAAAGTGGTGGGCCAATGAAAGTATGTGAAGTTCTTTTTGTAAGAGTTACAGTTGTATAGTCCAGCTTCTCTATTTCTACCACTTAGGAGTGCACGTTGGCTATTTCTACAGACTTGTTCCTAGAATAAACCTTCTGGTTTGGATGCCGAATACTTTGGAGAGTCTGCCAGAAAGAAACTTGATCCCAAAGAAAACCGTCCGTATTCTTTTGACACCCGCTTCTCAGTATTTCATGTCTAGATGCTTAGACTTTGTCGACAACAAGCTGCTTCTATTTATAGGACCAAGTTTTAGTATTCACTTCGTCACTTTTCTATACATTTTGCTGTAGTTCGATTTTTGTTGTTGTTGGCCAGAGGATTGTCAGAAAGAGTTACGAATAGTAAATTAAATAAAAACAAAATGTTTGATAAAATATTATATCAACCAGATCATCAGAAAACCAAAAGAAAAATATTTAATTAGAATACTAGAAGATACTTATTGATCACTTTAAGCTATCTAAATTAGAAGTTTAGAACACTATTAGAAGTACTGAAAGTATAATAATAGTCTGTAAAATATGCATTAGAATTTGGATAAATGCTACAAGAGCAAAAGTAGATAATAGTAGTAAAGATAAAAAATTATAAATACTTGTCTTCAAACTTAATATAAGTTACCAAAGCCTAGATTGGCTAAATTGTAGATATGAAAAACTTTAACAGATTAACCTTGAGGACAAAAAGCTTTCTATAGAGTATAAGCGTGTTTTAAAATTCTAAATTAGGTATTTGAAAATAAGGAATACTAAGTATTCTTGCTCAGTTAGAAGATTAATGTACATAGCTACAAAGGATTTAAATAAATAATTGTCTAGTTGAGTTATAGATATAACATCTAGTATAGTTTCTACAGTATATATTATACATAAACTATTTAAATAGACAACCAAAAGTTGTACATGTAGCTAGTTGTACTTTCCAAATATGTATATAATATGGTGTATACTATATTATAAAAGTTAATAATAATTGAATAAAAAAAAAATGACCAAGAGGTCACCTTAACATCAAAAAAAAAAATTAAATAAAACTAAAAAAGAGGCTAAATTTAAAGTTACAACACAGATATAAAAAAAAAATAGCTTTTAAAATATTAAATATACCGAATAATTGGTCAGTATATAGGTTTCTTCCCATAGTTCCCCTATTGGATGAAAAAAAATCCTGTTTTTTGATCAAATAATGGAAGTATTATTGAAACAGTATATAGATATTTAATATATTATACTAAAATTTTGCAAAGAATTTTTTTTGTTAGAACACAAAAGGTGGTTTTGTAACCAAAATTTTAAGTTGCTGGCAATTTTTGATAAACTGATTTTTTTTGAAAATTTTATTTTGCACCTGATCTTATAATTTGTTTGGTAGATGAAGAGTGGCGTAGTCTACTTTGTCCAATCAGAGACGGCATTTACAAATGTCCAATCAGAACTGTAGAGTGAAATTAAGTATATCTAACAAAAATAAATAAATAACTAGCTTTGATATTTAGATAACTTTGGATAACTTTGATATACCACTTCATAAAAAGAAAATAATCGAGGCCTATCCACAGATAAACACCAACAATCAAGGGTGATACCGCTTAGTAAATAGTGGGCAGTTGTCGTGAATAATTACTTCAAATAATCTCCTTGAGGTTAAATTAGGATCAATTGCTGAAATAGAAGAAAAAAAATAATCAAACACAGAAAATTGCCCTTTATTAAATAACATAAGGGAGGGGAGAGTATTATGACGCACCTAAAGATTTCTTATATAAAAATTTCCAGAAAAAAAAAATTTATTCTTGAAATTTATTGAAATAGATTACTCATCGAATTAGCCATCTAATAATAAGAAAAAAAATTGATTTTTTTAAAAAAAAATGATAAAATATGACCTTTAAAAAACTACTCAAAAAATGCTATATTTTATCGATTTGTGGGGTATTATGACACACATCGGATAGGTCGAATTAATGTCAAAAATCATGTATTACAGTATTACAGAATATACAGATAAGTATAACACAGCATAATTACATATGATTAATTTTTTTTTTACGTAACCATTCTTCTTTTTTTTGCTTATTTTCAGCTTTTTTTCGCTCATTCTCTGCCTTTTTTCTTTCTTTTTCAACTTTTTTTCTTTCTTTTTTAGCTTCCTGGTCAGCTCGTTTCTGGGCTGCTTCCTCTTTTCTTTTCTTTGTTTTTTCTGCTTTACTTTTTTCCAACTCATTCTTTTCTTTTAAAGCATTTAGAGATTCTTTATTTGTTAGAAGTCGGGCAAATGGCAAATTTTTTCATTTTTTTGACTGATTGGACTCCTCATTGCTTGTGTTGGAACTCTGGAAGTAGGATACTTGAGAGCTAGCTTTAACGAGCAGGTACCGGGATTTTTAAACGTTTCAAGTTCCTCTTTAAGTAGCATATTTTCTCTCCTTAGAGCATGGATTTCTACTTTTAATAGTTCATTCTTCTTGGTTATACTAGATTGCGTAAAATGACTTGAAAACGGTGTAGAAAAAGATAGTGCAGAAGAAGATAGTATGGAAGAAGACAGTGCAAAAGAAGATGGTATAGAAGATGGTGCAGAAGATAGTATGGAAGAAGACGGTGCGGATGAAGACATTATAGAAGAAGATGATACAAAAAAAGATGGTGTGGAAGAAGACGTTGTGGAAGAAGACGTTGTGGAAGAAGACATTGTGGAAGAAGACGTTGTAGAAGAAGACGTTGTGGAAGAAGACGTTGTGGAAGAAGATGGTGTGGAAGAAGACGGTGTAGAAGAAGACGATGTGAAAGAAGACGGTGTGGAAGATGATATAGAAGGTAAAATATCAATTCGTTTGGTAGATAAAGAGAGATCGAGACGATGAGGACTAATGACGTTAGGGTTAAAGAGCCAAATTCCCGTAGCTTTGAAAGCATTAGCTATTGTTGCAGGGGTGTAAGTTTTAATAAACGCAGGACCAAGCATTTTGGTAAACCTATACTTAGATACCAATTCGCCAGTTATATGGTGAAGTTGATTACAATTTTTACTATATTCGGCCTTAAGTTTAGCGAAAGGAAGTTCAGATGGTTGAAGTTGTGTGTCGTATAGAGGGGAAGTGCATATAACAAAATCCTGTTTTTATAACAAAATTTAACGCTTATATAATTCACATGGCTGCTATGACTATCAAGTATCAAAAGAACAGGACGACGAGGAGGTATAGAACTTATAAAATGCTCAATAAACATTTAGAAAAGGTCTTCGCACATATATCCAGAGTCAGTAAAACCTATAACCATACCTGATGGCAGTGTTGTACATGGGACAGTTGGGACATGAGTTGGGACATTTTGGGACATTTTGGGACAATTTTTTAAATTAAATTTACTCAAAATTTTAATAAGACAATCTACTTTAATTTTTTTAAAAACATGCTCAGCACTTAAAAAAATATATAATTATATAGTTTTTAAATTAATTTAGTAATTATTAAGATCTAGGGACAGTTGGGACACTTTGGGACATTGGGACGTTGGGACACAGCAAAAAAAGCTTGGGACAGTCCAAATGTACAACACTGGTATCTGGTTCTTCACACAGTATCCACGTATACAGTGCCAACGATAATACCATACCGAACATATATGTTATTGCTCACGAAATGGTAATAACCAAGAATCAATTCACAAAACCTCTCTCTTTTTTTTTTTTTTTTTAGCCAGCAGCTTTTAATAATTCTAATAGTTTAAAATTTTCGTATAATTAAATAAAGTAAAAATATATAATCAAAAAGAATTATAAAAATACTGGATCAGCCAGAATCTGAAATTTGGAAAATAAGCGAGAAGAAATAGTATAGAAGTATAAATATAAACTGTGTCTTCGTCTTCATCATTTGATAATTCAATTATTTCGGGTGCCTGGTCTTCTCTACTATCGTTTTTAGACACCTTTTCGCTATTTCCAATAGATTCATTAGCTAATATGATTATTTTTAAGCACTATTTATTATATAAAATATATAACAAACAAATAACTTTGAAAAAATCTGTCTTACACATTTTTAAGATACGATTCTGAGAAGACTTTATTTTTTTTTTGGTGCCCCCAATATATAAAAAAAAATTGTTATATGTATTTTTGACCAAT